ACAGCTTTATATTTGTGTGCTTAAGTGATTTTTATTGGTGGCGCGTGTTTGTGTATGTGAAGATTCAGCTGATTTTTCAGACATTTAGAATAAATGTAAATGTGAAAGTTGTTGATGAATTTATGAGAGCATTCTTAATCTGTATTAGTGCTGTCAAATGATTAATCGCATCCAAAATAAGTTTTTGTTTACATAATGTGTACTGTGTATATTTATTATGTATATATATATATATATATAAATACAAACACATGCATGTATTTAAGAAAAATAAGTTATGTTTATATATTAAATATATTTATATATAATATAAAATATACAAATATAAATATATAAATGTATATACAAGTAAATATTTTTATATTATAATATATACAGTATGTGTGTGTATTTATATATACATAATAAATATACACAGTACACATACATATATTATGTAATTCTTAATCTGTATTAGTGCTGTCAAATGATTAATCGCATCCAAAATAAGTTTTTGTTTACATAATGTGTACTGTGTATATTTATAATGTATATATAAATACACACACATGCATGTATATATTTAAGAAAAATGTTACGTTTATATATTAAATATATGCATGTAAATATTTTCAAAATATGTGCTGTATGTGTGTGTCTTTATATATGCATAATAAATATACACAGTACACACACATATATTATGTAAACAACAACTTTTATTTTGGATGCGATTAATCGTTTGACAGCACTAATCTGTATAGTTATTTATATTTACCACCATAAATACTCACTCAATTTTAGACAAAAATGCTACAATTACTTCATGATTTCCACCAAAATAATGCAAAATTCGATACAGTTAAGTCACATCTAAGGTGACATCAGTAAGCTAATTTAATTTTCTCAAATTTTTTTGTCTGCATTCACCAACCATTCAACTCCGTTATCAAATTTATCACAAGAAAAAGGATTGTACAATTTTTCTTTTTTTTTATTTATGGGATTTATCTAGAAAAAGTATTCTTTCATTAAAGCTGCAGTCCGTAAGTTTTGTTTCTTTGTCGCCATCTCTGTTTGAAAACCTGCAATTGCAGCTGTTTGCGGAATTATCTAGCTTGCGTGGGTTGTGCTCCGGTTTGGCTCCAGCGTGGATGAATCTAATGTTTTGAGGAGTATATATGTGTGGCAGTCAGTCACCGCACCGGTGTGGATATTTACTGTACTTCGCAATCACAGATTCTAGCCTACGTCTTGGAATATATGACCCAAATAAGAATTTTCACTGGATATTGTCATCTGAACAAGTAACAAGTCTGCCATGTTTGTTCTGACCAACTGAGGAAAAAAGCATTACAATAAATCGCGCTACCAACAGTGCTTTAATCTAAATTAGCTCATATCACATCAAACTGTGCAAATTATTATTGTTATACTTTATTCTCAAATTATTGTTAGCAACATCAGCATTGCGTGACTGAGTATAGAGTGTGTAAATGTGTGTAGATTTCAATTTCTGTACAGTCTAATCTAATTGTCATACTATTCGAATTTCATATTAAGAAATTATTTTAACCCAAAAAGCAAACTATGCTCCCTTCGAACTGGTTTTCTTTAAAATACAAATCTTTGTAATCCCAGGCTATCTGTAATCAGAAGCACATTTAAAACTGGAATATAATTTAATTTAATTCACGTGTTTCATAAACACATAATCCTTTCTGGATTACAATCCGCCATCAAAATGATACATTTAATTATTCTAGCTGCTGTGAGAAAAGGCTATAAACGATCCGCCACCTGCAGGATCCTCACATGCGATAGCCTAGTAGCCGGGACAACTTCATGTTTACAGACGTCATGGTGACGTAATGACATGGCAGTATGCTCGAATTTCCCGTGAAAACCTACCCGTACCACTCAAATTCCAAAACATTATAAACTAACCGTTGTGAATCAGGCTAAAGTAAGGCGATAGTTTTGAACACTGGCTGGTTATGTACTTGCTCAAATATTGATTTCGGATCATTTTTAACCAAAAAAAGTTACGGACTGCAGCTTTAATTAATTTTAATTAATCTATAAACCAAAGCTCTAGCATACAACCAAACTAGCTTCAAGTTTGTATTTCGTTTAATAATTTTTGTTCGTTATTATTGTATTATTGCTAGAAAATAAGACCTTTCTTAAGACACATTTCCCAGACATTTCCCCAAATTTCAGTAACAGGGTTAAAAAAAAATTGCAAACATATTAAACAGACAGCTTATATAATATTTAGTTTGGCCTCCGGAAGGAGGACCAATTCTCACCACAGCTAGTTGCTTATTAGCATGCCTATTATTAACATATTGGCCATTTATTAGTGCTTAGAAAGCACATATTCTGCATGACCATATTCTACATCCCTAATCCTACCCAATACCTAAACTTAACTATTATCTTAAGCAACAAATTATGAGTTTGAGGCAAAAGTTGTAGTTAATGGTGAGAATTGGACTTTAAAATAAAGTGTGACCCTCACTTTTAATTAATTTCAAGCAGCAAATTCAAAGACTCAAAACTTTATTGCAAGTGTACAATATAAACAATGAGCAGACATTGTTATAGTCAAATGTCCGTCAGAGAGGTGTTATGAGCAAACAGAGACCGATGAAAGAAAACAAGGAATCAAGCCTTCTAAATGTCAACCGTTTCGATTTTCATATTTCCTCTTTCAGTTGGTAGGGGTGAAAAGCATTTGTTTGAAAATTAAACGTCCAGTGTTGCTTTTCTACTTTTGTTCATGGATCAATTCAAGACCGTTTTGAGTTGGATCATTTCCTGAAACAGTAATTTTATGCCGTTTTATATTAGGAGATCATTTTAAAGCATAAAAAGGGCAAAAGTGCAATCAATACATTAAGTGTTTCCATCACAAAAATAAACAGTCCAGCACATGGAAGGAAGAATTGCCAATCCGAATGACAACAGAAACTTTTGCTTTGAAAATGAGCTCAAGTTAGGAATGTTTTATTAGAGTAATCGCTGCTCTAACAAAACAAGCCATTTTTCTGATGGAAGTTTACATGAGCACACAAAGAGAATCTAATGTCTCGGAGTAACACAGATTTCAATATAATGTGAGACACAATACTGGCGTTTGCTTTAATACACTGACAGTAGGAATTATAGTGAATGGTACAAAAAAAGCAAAAGATTAAAATGCTAGAATATTACAGTATTTCAAACAACACACTATAGGGATAATTGCTTTGATGTTAAAAAAAAAAAAAACCCCAGAAGAGCTCACTCACCAGTAGTTTAATTGATGTAAGCTCAGCTTCACCAAAAAAAATAAAAATTATAATAATTTGATCTGAACCCACTGGCGAATCATGCAAGGATACAAATCCAAACTATTATACAGTAGCTTTATGTGTAAATTGTCACCAGTTTTGCATGATTGGGACATGCAGTTTATTGCATGTCAAACTCCATTGACTTTTGGCTGCATTAGTGATAGCAACAACGTGAAGAGGGGGAAAAAAAAGATTGGTTACACTTTACTTGAAGGGGTGTGCATAAGACTGACATGACACCTTCATAATCATGACACCTACATAATCATGACATGTCATGAATATGAAGGTTTTTTATGCATGTTTATGACAACTGTCATTAAGTGTCATTCGCTCAGTTATGTAATTTTTAATGCAAAGATGACATTGTTTGAGATGTCTTTCTTATGGTCTATGGTTAGGGGTAAATGTAGGGGTAGGGTTAGGTCAAATAATGTCATATTTGCATTAAAAATGACATAACGGAGCGAATGACACTTAATGACAGTTGTCATAAATATGCATAAAACCTCCTTCATATTCATGACATGCGTCATGTCATGATTATGAAGGTGTCATGTCAGTCTTATGCACACCCCTTCAAGTAAAGTGTTACCAAAAGATTTTGCAGACTAGAAAAAAGCACAGTCAATGCTATGGGACCCTCTTTCCATATTCCAAATGTGCAAATATTAGAGCAGTATTGATTTGGGTCTTCATCGCTACTATTATAGCCGAAAGTTGACGCATATTCCTGACAGACATCCACATTCTAATATTAGTTTTGCAGTGAAAAAAACAAACACCTACAAAATTACATCACTGAATCTACAAAGAAGTATTTACAAAATACAAAAGGAATGCTTCGATAGAGTAAACCTTGAAGAAACCACTATTCCATTTTTGTGGAAATGGAATGACAAATTTATGTGACTCGGGAACAAGACGTTGCTCCTGTGGAGCTTGGGTACATAAGCATGGAAAGAAAATGGCACTTGACAAAAATGGTAGGAAACAACCTGGGAAATTCTTAATACAAAACACATCATTGTCTAACCAAACCTGTAATACTTATGTAGGTAAATGCATCTGTTAGGACTCAAGGGTTGTTTGCTTGAGAAAACCTGATCGGACAATAGCACAAACCGCACAAGTACATCATCACAATCCAAGACAATGGCATAGATACAAATAAACATGCTTTTGACTGGCTTTGGTTGCTGGTTACTGAGAAGAAGAAAAAAAAACAGATCCCCCCAACATAACAAATCACAGTCAGTTTTGGACAGAGCTTTTGGTGACGTCTAATATGCTACATGGCAACATTGTAAATGTAAAGAGATTATCTACTCATTTTCAACTGTCAAAATTAGTATGATTTTCTTTGTTTCTAACTGATGTTTTGAAGGCAATCTGCTCTTTTCCATACATTGAAAGTTACTAGTCAAGCTACAAAAAGTATCAGAAAAGCAGTCTATTTGACATGACATGTCATTCTGTGTCGCTCTGTGTGACAGAAAGAAATTACATTTAAGTTGTTATTCACTGAAAATCTTCCACATTTTAATTTGATGCATCATATTTGCTTGTGACAATGAATGGGATTTCGGCATCATTAAAAGTGTTGTCGCACCTTCAAATTATGTATCTAAATATGTACAAACCACAAACGAGAACTGAGAGCTACAGTGGAGCGAAAGATTTTCAGTGAACGACAACTTATGTCCTCAGCAGATTTGAAATATAGACGTATAGACCACTTTAATGATATTTTCTGGTGCTTTTTGAAGTGCAAGGGCTCCGGTATGGAAAAGAGCAGCATGAACATTATAGTAAATTTCTTCTTTTGTGTTCTACAGAAGAAACTCAAATCATAAAGCAATCGGAAAGGCATGGGGATGAGCAAATTATAACAGTTGACTTTTTTTTTTTTTTTAATTCTGAACTATCACTTTAAACATCAAATGGCATGAACCATGAAGAGGTGTGAGGTTGAAGTATTTGGAGACTTGGAAGAGATCTGAAGGCTTGTAAACTAGATTGATGCGGTGTCCATGCAAGCAGCCTGGCAGAATCGCTGGGTTTTACATTAAGGCCACCTGACTGTAGTATACTGTACTATTTTTGTTGTTCTAAATTGCACTTAGGTAAATCTATGCATTTGGTCTCATTGCTTGATGAGTGCTGAAACGCTGGAACGTCACTCAATGAACGTCTTAAGGATGTGACATGTTATTTTGTGTCTGACAAACATCTGTCTTTTTTCTTTTTTTTTCACACAAAAGGTCCTATTACTCCAGTAACATAAAAATGGCATAAAATGGCTTGACTGTAAAACTCCCCAAACCATTAGGTTTTAGGACTTAAAAAAAAAAGAAAAGAAAAAGCAATCTTGTTATTGGGTGGACAAACAGTCCATCTTCACACATTAATTTCCATATTGTAAAGGGATAGTTTGTCATCATTTATTCACCCACGTCCTTCCAAAACCAGCATGACTTTTTCTTTCCTCTGGAGAACACATATTGAAGAATGTTTTGTCTATATAATGAAAGTGAATCGAGTATAAAACAACATTGGACCCAACTAACCCTCACTGATTGGACCAAAAACACTTTTCAAAATCAAAATTTTTCAGAGAAGAACAAAACGAAATCTGCATAATTTTGACATCAGAGCAAAGCTGAGACCTCTCTCCATGCTAATGGCTCAAAACAGCTGGTGCATAGGCAGTTCACACAGATTATGTGACGGAGTACTCTTTAGTACAATAATAGCATGTCATTTCGAGGGAGAAACATTCGTTGTGTTTCTCTCTGCAGATTAGGGATCACCTGGATGTGAAGTATGAGTTAGGCCTTCCAGCCATTTCCTCATTAAAGGCTATTTTTTCTTGACAGAGGCCAGTTCTTTCTGAATGTCGACAAATTTGGGTCGATTCTCAGGCTTGTACTCCCAACATCTCTGCATGATCCTGTACACCTCATCTGGACACTTCTGCGGGCAGGACATTCTGTAACCTGCATTACACACAAACCAACTTTCTGTCAGGGTTGATTCTAAATCAATAATTGACAGTGGGTATATGTTGACAGGATTATTAAAAGGCTAACAGAGATTGCAGGTTCTGTGAAGAACATAGTACTAAGGTACTGCACACTGTGTTGTACATTCTGCAGTACCTACTTTAAAAGAAAAAAATGTGAAATAGTATCCAGTTATTACAGAAATAAGTCAATTTTTAAATAATTTAATTTCATTCATAATTATGGATTTATTATACCATTAATTAAAATGTAAAAATAAAAAAAGTAATAAAATATAACAAAATAAAATCTAAAAAGAAATCAAATGTGATGAAACAAAAATGAAATGAAATCATTCAATTAATTCATTTAAATATCACATCAATCTGTCTGAATCATTTACTAAGAATGGAGTTGTTTTGTACCTTTTTCGACCTGTTCTCGTGCCTGCTGGTTGGTCATGCCTGGGTAAGGACACACTCCTAGACTGAAGGTTTCCCACAGGAGGATCCCATAACTCCACACATCACTCTCTGAGCTGTATCTCCCTGGGATTTACACAACATGTCAAACATCAGTCTGGATCCAACGTTAGAACTGACTGCTCGAAGAGCACAAATCAAGTACTTGAGTAAAAGTACAAAAGTACTTCTTTTGAGTGTACTTAAGTGTTAAAAGTAAAAAGAACTTCTAGGTCACAAGTGTACAAACAAATAACTAAATACACCAGCAAATATTAAGACAAAAGAAAATGTGTGTAAATTGTATGGTGACAAATAGTATAAACATACAATATAAAAAAAGAGGCAAAATGTGTTACTAGTTTTCTATCATTTGAAACTGTTACAGCAGTGGGGAAGATACATGGCCATTAATTGGTGTTATTTTAACGCTATCCACATTCAATGAGAGTAATGATCTAAATATGATAATCAATTACAACAATCAATTTAATAATCAGCATTAGTAGCCTACTGTTAATGCCATCAGTCACATACACTCTCAAGCTCCCAGGATCTCCCGGTTCTTGGCACATTTTGAGTCAGACGTGAGGACTCGCTCTGACCGGATCATTGATTCAGTGAGTTTTTGAAGAATGTGGGTAACCAAACAGTTTCTGGTCCCCACTGACTTCCATAGTTTTTAAATAAATAAATAAATAAATAAATATATATACCATATATACGCCCCTTACCATATTGTGATGCCGTGTCCCGGAGCGACGAGACAAAAACATTAAAACCCATTATAAACGAGGCATTTGTTGCATCCAGTGGGGACATAATTACGGATTATAATGACTTATACTGTCTTTTTATGCGTTGCATATCGCGCCGCGTAAACATAAAACCATGTCTGCATTTGTGATCGGAGAAATGACAACAAGTGCTACTCTACACTGCTCAAAACTCACATTTGAATCGTCGGTGGCAAATTCTTTAAATATAAAAAACGTACTTACAGGCTGTGAGTCAGAAGCGCCAGACTGTCCTTGCAAAGTTGGAACTGCCCCACTATATATAAACAGCCTTTGTGCACAGACGGCATTGTAGGCTAACGTTACTCTGCAGGTTCAGGAAACAGTCCTCCATAAAATGCGCTGCACACATCTGAATATTTGGGTTGAACTGTTCTGGAACAGTGTTGTAAATACAATTTAACCACTGATTTCTAGTTGTGTCCTCTTTTGGAAGGCCAAACAAAGTAGTTTCACTTTCACAACGAAACACACAGCGTCACACATGGTGGGCTTGAGTGAGGAATGGCCAGCAGATTTGACGAAGGAGCGGCCGGCAGGCTTACGGCAACCACATGTGACGACCCCGGGCTGGACTCCGCTTCGTCCACGGTGGAAGCCGATCCGGCGATCCACAGCGCGAAGTTGATATATTTCATTAGCGACCAGCACGGATCAGCTCCAGGTATGACGAAGCGGATATCATCCTCTTTTGGAAGACCAAACAAAGTAGTTTCGCTTTCATAACGAAACACACAGCATCTCCACAACATGGCGGCGGCGGCAACAACAATACTACGGCGAGAATAAAAGTTACGCTTTCTTTCTTTGTGTGAACATTTGGGCGGCGTTATGCAAATCTTCCCACACAGTGACGTAGACGGGGCGAGTTTAAACGAGGCGTTTTAGGAGGGCGTGGACAAGTCAACTTTTATAAAGAATATCTTTATATTTTATAAAGAATTTGTTTGAGGTTTGAGACTTTAGTCTTTGCAACTTTAGGGATCTTATCTATGCACGAACAGCTTGTAACACTCCAAAGAGAAAGGAAAATTTGAAATTGCATCATATGACCCCTTTAAATGATCAAAAACGTCCTATCTCTATTATATTTTGTTATTACTATTTTTAACGAGTGCTATTGGTCATCGTTATGTCTGTTTGTGGGTTCTACAAATATTTAACCAATGAAATGCATTCAAAAGAGCTTGTGACTAAAGCTTGTAATGCCATTGCATCCATTGGTTTGAATAAGTACAGCGTGTACTTCTTTTCTTTACTCAAGAAACACGGTCTAATTTTTCGTGTGTTTGAAGACTGGAGAAGAGTCTTAGCATTTGCTGTCTAGTTGTAGTTGTTTACGTTTTAAATATCCTGTGCATAGCAGTTGATCTTTTATATCATGATTATTTTGGCCAAATGTATTAAACAAGAAAAAGCGAGCGCCCATATAGCTACAACAAACTTTATAACCTGTAAATTGATGAAAATGTAATGTGATTAATCTGCGGTCGTTCTAATGACTGACAAACACACCCCGTCATTCGCTTGTCAAAAACCTAATTAACTCCATTTAAGCATGCTTTTCAGAAAATGTTAGGTGCAAGTGTCTGATCATATATAAAGCCAAAATGCCAACTATGACGACGCATTGTTCAATTATTGGGGGGAAAGAAAACTTTACCCCTTTCTATCTTTTTTTTTTAAGTGCTTAGTGGTGTGCCGTGGGATTTTTACTTATCAAAACTGTACTGCGGCAGAAAAAAGGGTTGGGAAACACTGATCTAAGAGCAGCACAGACACCATGAGTGCTTTACCATAGTTCAGTGCTTCCGGTGCAGTCCACTTGATTGGGATCTGTTTCAGTCCTGATGAGGAGTAGATGCCATTGTCCTCCTGGCGGGACATCCCAAAATCACTGATCTTCAGCACATTGTTCTCTCCCACAAGGCAGTTGCGAGCAGCCAGATCTCTGCAAGATTTCAAGAAACACTGTAATACCACTTCATAAACAATACAACACATGCACTCTCAGCTTACAATCATGACTGTGATTGGACAATTCACACCTGCCAACAACTACTGCCAACAAAATGATTGTGGAGCAAGCAGTCTAGATCCCCAATTATCCTGTGATTACACTTATGAACACCCCCAGTCTGGAAAAAGTGCCCAATGCAAAAAACATCATCTGCCTTCTGCTGTCAAAAATAATCCAAGTATTCTCATGTCTAACTGTTCTACAAAACTTCAGATTAAAAAAAAAAGTGTTATGCAGCCATGTACTTTATGGGACTGGATCAGTTTGGAACCTGTTGAAATATTGTTACATCACAAATGAGATTTTGGACAAGCCGTGATGTTTCTGGCCAAGTGTGAAAGCTCATTTAAAGAGTTATGCCCCCCAAACTGAATTTTTTTATAATCATTTATTTACTCTCACGTCATCCCAATATATGATCTTCTTTCTTCAGATGAACAGTTCATGACTGTAATCCATATGACCCTAATGGATGACTGAATGTCTTCTTAAGCAAAACGATAGGTATGTGCAAGAAAAACAAAAAAAATAAAAATCAGTATAAACCACAGCACGGTGGATCTACTTTTGGGTTACAATCCACATGCATTATATGGACTTTTTTTTTTCTTCTAAAAATCTACATCTATGGCGCACAATAGTTTCACGCTCGTTTCATTTATAGACGTGTTATAAGCAGTGTTGGGCAGTAACTAGTTACTAGTAACACATTCAGGGGCGTGTCCAGGATTTTATACTTGGGGTGGCAAAGAGGGGGCAAGAGCAGAATGAGGGGTGGCAACTATAGATCAGTGTTTGTACTCCCCATATACTTGTATATTCAACACCAGTGTTGGGGAGTAACTAATTACATGTAACGGAATTACGTAATTTACTTACAAAATACATTTAAATGCAATCTGTTACAGTTACTGAGAAAAAAAAAGTGTAATTAAATTAGCCTACAGTTACTTATGAAAATGTTAACAATTACAAAAGGGGTTTTCGCACAAACACGCACATACAGATTTGATTCATTTATTTCTTAATTGCAGTGACTGCTCTAAAATACGAAGCACCAATGTTTCAGGAGTTTAGAACACAGAATAAGATGCATGCTTATTCGATAACTGTTTAATTTCCTATTTGGGTTTATGCATATGCTTTAAGATTAACTGATTTTTTTCCTCAAGGCATTGTTAGATGCCAGTGTTTCCTGTCATAGCTGTGAAAATATTTGATTTTAAAAACCATAGCTATCAAACTATTTCTTGTTATGATTTTAAACCTGTATTTAACCAGAACGATCAAAATTTAACCAGAAACAGACTGATCTCAAAGTAAGGAAGGTGCTTAAGTCTGATTTTGAAGTGGCTGTGCTTTAAAATTAAATGATTATAATCTTAATTCAAGTGATGCAGGCTTTTGAAAGTCTGACAATAATCAGTGTTGAGTTCTACTGTAAGATTATTAACCCTCTGTAACGGGGCTGACGAGACGTGAGACGTGTGGATCCATCTGCAAGCTTTATTAAAGAGACGTGGTAAACAGGCAGGGTCAAACAATGGCAAACAGGTATATGGCGGGCA